GACCATCTTCTTTCCTCCCTAGATATAGTAGAGCATCACTATGAATTCCATGTGGAGAAGAAAAAGTTGATTGATGCAGCAAATGTGCTTTTGATGTAGATGCCATCATTAAAGAAATACTCAGTTTATGTCCTTTGCCCACTTTTTAATGGGGTTGTTTCATTTTTTTCTTGCTGATCCTGAATTCTATATAGATTCTAGTGACTCAGGTGGAGCAAAGGCAATATGTAACCTAAACATTTGTACCCCGTAAAATGCTGAAATAAAAAAAAAAAAAAGAAACAAATACTCAGGGGACCTACCCAGGCAAGGTTTGCACATGAGCCTGTGAATCACAACTAACATCATTGTCTTATTGAGAAGCGCTTAGAAAGATGACCTTGGAAACAAAGTTTTATTGCTTTTACCTAAGTCCCTTTTCATTACCTGTGTAACCCAGCTGTAACCCAGATGTCAGTTGCTTGGATTCCTTCAGGTCTTCCAGCTTGCCAGGGTCAACTCGTCCTTTAAAATCTAATTTAAATGGACTCAAATCACAATCTCAAGCACAGGGAGTTCCCAGCATCCACGCCAGTATTTTCAGCAGTTGTAAGTGGAATTTCTGTCTCTCCCAGACCTCTCTGCTTCTGAGCTCCTTCTTATGCAGATTTCAGACAGGAATAAGGAAACTGAAATACCCCATACCACCCACACCAATTTTTTTGAAATCACGTTAGGTAATTCAAGTGAAAACATTTCAATAAGTATAAAGTGCTACCCAGGAGAGGTAATAATCTTACTAAATTAGAAAGTGACATAAGGCATTGTGAATGCTCCAAGGATAGACTTGGAAGAGGAAAAACTGAAGGTAATGAAACGGCATCCACTTGTTTCATCTGGCTAAATATAGAGAAAAGAATGAAGTCCCGACAAGATTTTGAAATAAATTAGGATGTCTGTGGTTTATAATAAAAAAAAATTACCCATGAAAGTTTAAAGGGGAACAGTAAAAGTTAGTCTTGTGATTTCAAGAGCCCAAAACGGTACTCGGCATCCAAAGTGAGAAAGGTCACCAGAGGCCCTTGCAGCTGCGTGAGCTGGTAATTACAAGGAACACACTTTCCTCACCCTTTTTAAGGCAGCAAATCCACATGGCCTTTTGGTATCTGCCAGATCTGTTCTTGAAGTAATAGCTGCCGGCACGTTAATCAACTACTTCCACAGCCCTGGTGTGTGCAAAACCTTCTGTCTGCTCATTTCATACGCTGTATTCAGTTTTTCCAAGAATTTGTTCCCAGCCTTATTTCAGAAACTATTCTAACATGATAGTCACAGTTTCCTAACACCCCACATCACTTTCCTGTGATCTCATCCTCAAACTACCTGGAGGTACTTACTGTGCCTCTTATTTGGTTGGACCAGAGGAAATTCTGGTGTGTGAGGCTTCTTTTTTTTTGTTTTGTTTTGTTTTTTGTTTGTTTTTTCCTTTCGTAGGTAGAATATAATTCATTTATCTTGGGCACTTTTAAAGAGATGGGGGAAATTTGACTATATACCAGTAAAAATCCCATTCGGACAATATTGCTCAGAAAATTAGAATAATACCTGTTAGCTTTAAAGGAAAAGTTAAAAGAGGATTTAAAACTAGAAAGGGTTAAGTATATGAAGTATATTCTGGGGATGTGGAATGACACAGCCTGTCCCACCTACTCTGCATGGAATGGGAGACCAGGAGTGGGAGCCTTGTCTTTGATCTGCGCCGTGGGTTACTCTTGTAGCCCTGTCTCATTTGCAAATGCTAGTGTGTCAGAAGTGTTGTCTCACTCTGTAATCCCGAAGAGGTAATACATAAGGCTGGTGGTATTTGTGCAAGGGAGCCTGGGATGAAGTCACAGCTAGACAGAAGTGGGCAAGGGGAGGACCGTGCCGTGCTGCCATGCCTCCTGTGCAGAAGTTATCACTTATGATGGGTTTCCAGCTCTACTCCAGGATAATACAAGATGTGCTGATCACCATTGTTTTGGGACTGAGTAGAACTCTATGGTATGTTATACCACATTTATTATCTACTCGTGTATTAATGGGCACTTGGATTGTTTCTACATCTTTGCAACTGTGAATTTTACTGCTATAAACATTCAAGTGCAGAAGTTTTTTTACAGAATAGCTTTTTTCCTTTGGGTAGATGCCAGTAATCAGATTTCTGTATCAATAGTAGTTCTACTTGTCGCTCTCTGAGGTATCTCCATGTTACTTTGCACAGAGGCTGTACATTTGCAGTCCACCAGCAATGTACAAGCGTTCCTGTCTCTCACCTCCACACCAACATTTGTTGTTTTGGGACTTTTTAATAGCCATTCTCACTAGAGATAAATGATATCTCATTGTGTTTTGATTTGCATGGTCCTGATGATTAGAATGTTGAGCATTTTCATATGTTCTTGGCCATTATCTATCTTCTTTTGAAAAATGTCTATAGCCTGGACTATAAGAATTCTAGAAGAAAATGTTGGAAAAACTCTTATAGACTTTGGCCTAGAGAAAGAATTTATGAAGAAGACCCTAAAGTCAATCACAGCAACAACAAAAATAATAATGGACTTGATCAATTAAAAGCTGCTATACAACCAAGGAAACTATCACGAGAGCAAACACGAACAACCTACAGAATGGTAGAAAATATCGCATGTTCACATTCATAAAGGGCTAATAACTAGAATCCATAATAACTCAGGAAAATCAGCAAGAAAAAATAAAAACCCTATCAAAAAGTGGGCAAAGGACATTTTTAGATGTTGTGAAAGATTTTATGTAAAGAACAAGTGACATTATGAACATGAGAAAAATTTCCAATTATATCTCTAAACCATTTTCCTGATAATTTCAGTGTTACATACATAATACATACAAAAAGTGAGTTTATCTTGACCATTGATGTTTATAACTCCAGTAAAATAATACAATTATATAGCATACAATAATATATACAATTGTATGGCATAGCTTCTAAGTGGAAAATTATCTACATTTTCAAAAGAGCAAATGGCTCTTGGGGCAATATATAGCTTAGGAATGACAAAATTGTCATCCATTCAAAAAATAAGACTGTAGAGATGACAGAATGGAGCCCTGAGAATCCTCAGATTTGCTTTTAAGCAATACCTCCTTTCATGTGGTCCCCCAGTAATGTTCAGGCCAAGAAGATGGAGCTGGAAAAGCAAGGCAAAGTCATGCTTTGTTATTAGCTCCATAATTATTACACAATCCCTCATCCTATATTTCCTCTGTTAGGCTCATCCCAGCAAGAAACTCCAAATGAGAGAGAGGGAAGGAGAGAGACAGAGGGAGGGGAGGGAGTATCTTGGGCCTCCTATGCATCAGCACAACGGCCCTTGTTACCTTTCACCTTGAGGCGCCGGAGAGCTCAGGAGAGGTCCATGCAGGTGTGAGCAACCATTGACAGGACACAGTGACTCCGCCATCAGTCCCATGACCATAAACCTTGATGGCATCTTCCTTCTTTTGAGGTTAAAAAGAGGAAGGAAATAGAAAGAAGCCCTGGACTCCCCCTGGGATCCACCAACTAATTTGAAACATAAGCTGGATATGACTAGATTGGTGATTCCTGAAGTGTGTTCTAGAGAACATTAGCCCTATAGCATGACCCTGTGTCTGCGTGTGTGTGTGTATGTGAAGCAGGAGAGGAGAGGGGTCCAGTTATGACTTAAGTCTAGAAATGGTGGGTTAAGCAATATTTACTAGGTGCTTTATGTGAATTATTTCAATTTCTTCACAACTAACTTGTGTTGCAGGTAGTATTATAATTAATAGTTACTTTAAAGATGAAGGAAGGTTCAGAGAAGTTAAGAAATACACTTAAAGTCACTAATTTTTAAGATGTGCTTCTGGGATTCAATGCAAGTCTAATTCCAGAGCCCAGACTTGTTGACTCCATGACTTTCTGTAGCCTTTTTAAATGACAGATAGGTACCCTGAATCTCTAAGAGATGCATATGGTGTGAATTTCTTAAATTTCTTGGCCAAAGCCTTTTTTTATTTCAGCATATTATGGGGGTACAAATTTTAAGATTACGTATAATGCCTTGCTCCCTCCCCCTCAAGTCAGAGCTTCAAGCGTGACCATCCCCAGATGCACATCTGACTCATTATGTATGTATACCCATCCTCCTCCCTCCCACCTGCCCAATACCCGATAAATGTATTCCTGTGTCCCTTAGGTGCTGATCAGTTAATACTAATTTGCTGGTGAGATATGTGATGCTTGTTTTCCATTCTTGGGATACTTCACTTAGTAGTATGGGTTTCAGCTTTATCCGAAAAATAACAGATGTGCTATATCACATTGTTTCTTACAGCTGAATAGTACTCCATGGTATAATATACCACATTTTATTATACCACTCATGTATTGATGGGCACTTGGGTTGTTCTACAGTTTTGCAATTGTGAATTGTGCTGCTATAAAACATTCGAGTGCAGGTGTCTTTATTGTAGATTGTCCTTTGTTTCTTTGGGTAGATGCCAGTAGTGGGATTGCTGGATCAAATGGTAGATCTCCTTGTATTGCTTTAAGGTATCTCATATTGCTTTCACGAAGGTTGAACTAGTTTGCAGTCCCACCAGCAGTGTAGGAGTGTTCCTATCTCTCTGCATCCATGCCAACATTTATTGTTGGGACTTTTTGAATAAGGCCATTCTTCTGGAGATAAGTAATATCTCATTGTGGTTTTGATTTGCATTTCCCTGATGATTAGATATGTTGAGCATTTTTTTCTGAGCTTCCCAAGAAATGAATGTTCTGGGGAACCTACTTGGGAAGCAGTGGGCTAGATTTAATCATATAGCCTCTACTCAAACAAAGCTTCCATTTGGCAAACCAAAAATCTGCTTTTGCCAACAGCTAGATAGAAAGAGCTAGCGTAAGTGGTGATGTGATGTAGTCTGAATTTAGAAATATTTATATTGAAGTTATCTGAGTTCTGTCTTCTTCTCCCTTTCAGATGCTTCATCCCAAACATCTATGCAGCTTTGTTCACTGCAGCTCTGTTCCCTTGATGTGCCTCGTGTGTGTTTGTGGTGTTCATCCACGCCTACCAGGTGAAGCCACAGTGGAAAGCCTATGACGACGTCTTCAGAGGAAGAACCAATGCTGCAGGTTCGAAAGGAACTCTATTTGCCCTTGGGAGATGGGAACTTTTCAATGGTGGGAAAAGGTCACTGAATATTTTATCAAAAAAAAAAAAC